CAATAAGAGAGTGAAGTTACGAGATACGAGTTCAAACGTGGCGACATTTTAGTATTCTGTATAATGAATATTAGAATTAAGTAGGTTCGACGTATTAGTTGGTGACATCATGGGAGTCATATGATAATGTCGTGTCCATGGTGCTCAAGTATTTAGGTGACGGTCACTATTTAGCTTCAACATGCTCGTTGGGAAGCATGTTTGGCATTTCAATTCCATCATCAATCATTTTCAAGGGCAAAAAACGAAAGACTATTCCCCTAATTGGTTCCTCTTCATACTTTTAAGCCATTCTTTGCGATTTTGGCGTCATCTCAGGAGTTAAAGATGATGGATTCTCAACAGCAATTTAATTTATATTTTATTTCATTAAAAATTATGATATATTACAGTACACGTAGTGTTCAACATTAAAACTACATTTTTTTATACACTCGTAAAGAATTCCTTATATATAAACTAGCTGACCCGGCAACCTCTGTTCAGCCTCAGAATTATAACGTGTTAAAGATCAAAAACTGTTTCACAGGTGTGAACAGTTTCAGTTTTATTTTCCATGCAATTTCTTCATATTTTCTCATCACTGAAACCTTACTTGGGCTACAAATATTTCCAAACTAAAATTAGCTAAATCGGTCCAGTCGTTCTCAAATTTTAGCGAGACATACAAACGACATTTCATTTATAAATATATATATATATATATATAATAGAAAAGAATTGTGTATTTGAATTCTGTTCTTATTCACAAGTTTATAATGAGAACTTGTATTTATGCTCAAAGTTATTTTCCCATATAATTTTCTCAGACAAGATATCCAATTCGAATGAAATATTCTCCGAGGAGAGTCTCGACAGTACAAGAAAGAAATCAAGACATGTTCTTTAATAATTATTTGTAAAAATCTTTACTCATAATACGATAAGAATAAACTTTCAACCAACAGTTGAAGAAGACGGTTATCAAAAATAAATGTCGTTAAAATTATAATCATACATTGTAGTAAATATAAAAGTTACATAAAAATAATAAATTAAATATGACAAATTCAGATTTATTCTTCATTTTTTTTAATAGATTAGAAAAATATTTATTTAAATAAACTTAAGTCTAAACACTTTTGAATAGATACATATTTATACATTTGGAATGCTGATGTGGATGTTGTCTAATCACGAGAAGAAGGTCCAAGTAACTTGCCTGTTGCTCTTTTAAATAAGTTGTAACTTTACATTTTTATGTTGAATTGTGTGAATTTGAAGTTTGTTTATTGTTTCTCGGAGAAAGTGATTTAATTTCAGGAGATTTCAACTGGTTTTCATCTTGTTACACCTATTACAACTTAGTCTTTAGAATTGATTTAACAATAAAAAAACACGTACCAGGAAACATAACAGCAATAGGTACTACATGGCTCAGGTACTAAAAAATAATTGTATTGGAGTCACGTGTATTGATATGTAAACAGTTTACTTAGAACTTTTACATATTAACATTATTGATAATTTCAAACATTTATATACATCGCACTAACAGAGTTATTGTGACAAGGTACTATAATGTGTTTACACATTACGTACACGTGGCTACATAAAAAGCTTACGTAGTAGCTTTATGTGTAAATTGTAAGGTTATGGCAACCCATTAACAATTTTACACCATGGGAACTGTGTCAGTACACATTCTATTCGATATCTACCAAAACCATAGACAACACAACATGTGTGACCCATAAAACTATAGATTGATTCCTATATGAAGCATGTGTTATAACTTTTTAATAGATGCATAACTTTTTAAGTTATTGAAGAATAACTAGTCTGCCCACAACTTCCAGTGACCAGAGAGTAAATAATATTACACTTTGTAAGAGTTGTAACGCCATTAAACAATGTGAATCTATATAACAAGCTGTAATGTTTCTAAAATAGAAGAGTTTTTACAGATCCATGTTTTATGTCTAAATTTAGGCGTGCTTATATCTGTGGAAAAAACAAATCCTTCAAATATATATATATATATGACTAATTATGCTCGTGGTTTCATCCGCGTGGAATTTATAGCCTATATGCTATTCTGATGTATAAGCTATATTACTGTAAAGTTACATCAAAATCCGTTCAGTGGTTTTTGCAAACTTAATAAACATCCACTCACAAACTTTCGCGTTGTTAATATTAATAAGATACTAAGTTACGCCAAGTCCTATCCGTGACTATAATTATAATGATATTAATATTACTTAGGATTTGAACTTAAATAGTTACGAATTAAATACAGTATATACTCACCCAATCTTTAACTACACATACTAATCAGTTGCATTTAGTCATCTATTAGTTGATGATGATATATTTATTAATTATTTAGTAGAACATTATGAGTACTCTTTATAAGAATAGAATAGAATAGAAAATCATTTATTCAAATAAACTTACATTAAAGCACTTTTGAATAGTCATCACATTTTATTTAACCTACCGTTCATTCGGAAAGCTGTCTCATCAAAAGAAGAATGAGCAAGAAACTTGCGTGTTGCTCTTTCAAATAATTTTATTGTAACATACATTTTTAAGTTGAAATGTGTGAATACAAACTACCAATTAGCACTAATTCAATTAAATATTCAAATAGAGAAAATATTAAATATACAACCAAATGTTTGAAGCAACTAAAAAAGAGTAAATCAGTCGTAGTGGTTATTAGGTGTTGAACACAAAAGGTGATTATTGAGGTTTGTAATTTAAATATTTGAATACAAGAAAAAGTATTTCTAACTTCATTCATTCATAATTTAAGAGCTCTTGTCTGTAGAGCTCCCGCCACCTTCCACGATATTCTATCAATCTTTTTAGTTGTTCATATGACACAACTCCAATTTTTTCCTGAACTTGCTTGATATAGCTGTTTCTAGGTCTTCCCCTTCCTATCTTTACTTAGTAACAAAAAAATTACAATATTTACACCGACTAGCTCGTTTCTCTGATTAGTTTTGCGGCATCGGTTATTTAGCGGTTTAGAGCGCTATACTTCTGATGCCCACGGGTTCGATGCCTCGCACGGTACAAATATATGCATTCATGACTATGATTGTTTGTATCGGTTTAGGTGTTTTCTATGTATATTGTGTATGTATTTAAAAAAACAAAGTATCTATGTATTATATTTATATCAGTTATTTTTGTATTGTAAATAACGCTATTTTCCGCATTTAGTCAAAGTATGACACAAACTCTGCTTAGCTATGGCGCTGTGTGCATTATATTTATTTATATTATTACTATCTAATATTGTTATAATAAAATGTATTACAAAACCCAGTTTTATTGGCGATCGACCGCCACAGACTTTTTGATATTTTTTATATTTTAAATTTATATTTTAGAACAGTTTTTTTATATATATCCTGTGATTAGATATATTTCACTTATCGCCATATTGTCTTTTCCATAGTTTGCAGCTGTATGTTAATATATTTCATTATAATAATCTACGTGTTTTCATCATTTAGTCACCCATATGGGTGATGGGTTTAGTCACCCATATGGGTGACTAAATGATGAAAACACCGATCCGTTACAACTTTAGTATCAATTCTATAGACAAAACCACACGTTGTTTGTTGGTATTAACATATCACGGAAGACATGGTCACTATAAAAGCAAATAAGCTGCATAATCGACGTGGTAGGTAGTCAATTAGTGTTTTCGTGCAATGCATAATGCATTGTGGATTTCTAAATCACTATAAGCACATTAGAGACGATATAAATTACTCATTTTCTCTCACAATTCAATGACTCCGTTGCATCATCGACACATCATCGAGTTAACTAGATGTTGGTAGATATGACTAATGTTGTGTAATATTAAAACAGTTTAATGTGTTACAATTGGAATACTAAGTAATATTATAAATGGAAAGTATGTTTGTTTATTACGCATTGGCACTTTAACAGCTTCATCAAGCATTATGGGATGTAGTAAGTAGAATTTCGAATGGTGTTCTTAGTTTATACCATTGTCATGCCGATGAAGTTTTAGGCAGAAAATAGTTGAAAAACCTTAAAACATGGAACGCGGAATAAAAATAAGCATTTAAAATTGTTAAATATTAAGCATTTCAATTTTAAATTAGGATTTAATTAAGCATTTATAGTCATATTTAAAAAAGTCAAAAATAATTAAATTTTAAATAGGCATCGAAAATATCACTGAGTTCCATTATACTTTTTTTAAACTGTCAAGGAAAGTACCGTATATTTTTTTAAAGAATATTGTAGTACAAAGAAATGTGTAAAGAAAACTAACAAACGGCCATCAATCACCGTTACAATGACGTGGAAAGTATTATCTGATATAATAACTATGTTAACCAAATATGGATTATGGATCATAATTCGCAAATCAGATAGCGGCATCTATTATTTTTATAAATATATACCTTTTCATTGATCATGCCATCTACACCTACAATTTACCTAAATATTGTCTTCTAGATCATTTTAGACATATTTTTATTATAGAATAAACCGCCGCATAAGAATAAAAAAATAGTACCTAATACTAAACTCGAGAATCTTGCGAGATCCTACCAAGCTAAGATTTTTACTGAAATACTTCTCAATAAATAAAATATATCTGTCAAATGGAAGATTTCGCTAAAGAAACTTTTAAACTTCAAAACCTAGAATTATTAAGATATATAAAACTAGCAAATTTCTAAAATGTATATTCTTAAACTATAAAAATATATTTAAAATGAATTAAACCAACAATACCGTTTTACTTAACCAGATAAAAAAAAATATACATAGAGACAAAAATATCGACAAGCATGAAACGCATTTATGTATAAATCAGAGAGAACAATATATTGATAAATATAAAATGCAATTATCAGCTTATACATTGAAGGTACGTCCAATCGTGACACTATCATTACGGCTAATTTATGTTAAATCATCACTATTATAACAAGTCATACGCTACCACTCACCGGACTTCCGTTTCTCGTTGACGAGCACGAGCGATTTCGTTCTCTTCACCCTTAAAGACCTCCTCCGAATCGATCTCATTAAAGCCTCCGGCATTCTTGAGAACCTCGGGGAATCCACCCTCTTCTCTGGCATAAAGAAATTCTTCACTGCCAACATTGTCATTATTAACAATTCCAACTTCTACAAAGACAATTACTTCACCATCTAACAACTTAGTTGATTTGTCGTTTGAAATTTCAAGACAATTGTCATCTTCAAACAGAAAAGTTATTCAAGTCCAGCATCTCCATTTTGTATCTCCTTGATTACTTTTGGATCATTGCCACTATTAGATTCACCTGCGCGAAATAATGAACTATGACCAAACGTAATTTTATGGGCGATTTAACATCACAAGGTCTTGAAAACGAATCACTATTGAATAATCACTCGCGTATCATTGTTTCCAAATTTTCATCGGCCTTTAATTCTTCACTTCCATCGTCACTGACCGGAATCTCGTGTCTATTGTATTCTTTATGATTTAATGTCACAACTATTGTTCTGGGTAGGTCCTAATCACTATTCGAACCACGATACTTTATCCTGTAGCTGTGTAAGGATTGGTTCACTATACAGACGCCGCCGTATGGCGTTTGCCGCCTCGAGTCAGCCGACACGTCTGCGAGCGGTCGGAGTGAGACGTAAACTGCCTTAACGGCGAGGGGAAGGCATGACTCCCCTAGTCGCGAATGTTATCTTTCTTATCAAAGTTTACTTATTGTATGCACAATGACTTGAGGCCAAATAGATTTACCGTTTGATAACCGTGAGCAAGGTTAATCGAATTAAGATGAACGTGAGTAATCTTATTTTGCGTATTGTTTCATAGGTTACATTTCTATATTTTTTTACTTGATTAAATTAATAAAAGCATTTTTTAAATTATTACTTGTTTGAATGTTAATGAGAATGGAATAAAATTTTATTCATTATATATAATATACACACATTACAAAACAGTACAATGTGGACCGACCACCATAAATATAGATATAAAATAGAAATTGTAACACTTTTGCCGTATAATAATTTTTGACACCTACATATAAAACAAAAGTTCGCCATTTCGAACTCTAAACCATAAACTACGGCTAGTGTTCAGGTAAATTTGATTCCAAAAGCCCTTAAAAATAATTTATATGTAATGTTCAGTAGCTATTTACATAAATTAGTACCCTGTACTTTTTTCATTACCCTATAAAGGTTGCTGACCTCTATCCCAGGTTAGAGATAGAGGTGATATTCCCAAAAATTACTATAATTCACCTAGGATAATTCACAAAGAGCTTAATCAAATCGGCCCACATCCATACCACAATGAAAATTCATTTACAATATTGTCTACGCCCACAATTTTCACCGCTATTAATGTTTTAATTAATTACTGCTTTGTTTGTGAGGTAAAATATACTTAATTTATTATAATCAAGTTAGGTAGTTAAAATAATAATAAATAAGTAAAGAGATGCTTGTATTAATGATGCTTGCGTTTAATATGGTAGAGTGCAGCGATATAAGTGAATGTAAAGAATAATATCAAAAGGAATTCGTTTACCCGTATTTATAATAGGACTGCTATTTTAAATATGGACAAATGAATATATCTATACTGCCAGTCATCCTACATGTAGGTGTAATAGAAATGTAAAAAAAATTAAGGAAAGTAATTTATATGTATATACTACTATAATATTACCTACTATAAAAAGTAAGTATAGTTTTGTTTTGAATAGGTATAATTTTTAAATAAATATGATAATATTCTATATATGGAAAAATATTATTTTTAAATTGATTAAGAACTTTTATAATATGAATATAATTAAAAAAATCTTTTCTCTTTATAATATTAGTACAGATAAAATCATATGATAACATATTGTTTCTATTTTCCGCAAATATAACACGCTTGTTGGCATTGGCCCAAATACATTATATGTCTAAAAGTATATCACATAGTACGAAAACGTGACAGATGCAGCACATATTGATAACTATTTTGTTATTTTTTTATATTTATACAGGTAAATAATAATAAAGCAAAATACCCGAAAAAGAGAGATGTATTGGATGATTGTTAATAAGGGAAGTATAGAGACACACGTTTCCATTTTAAAAGAAATGAGTATTTAAGCAAATCTCACGGACTTCCTTCTGCACCAACGTCTCTATTCTATGGGAACTCAATAACAAAAGAAGACTATCCATCATATGTTTCCGTATAATAATAGAGTTTATTAGTCACATCGCCCGGAAGGAAAGTCACAACCTGGATCAGTTGATGGTGACTGGCAGGTCCACCCTGGGAAATGTCCTACAGAGTAGCCCCACAAGATGTTCTGACCAAATTCGCTCATCTCTGGACACCACGTTCCATGATTCCCAACATTATGCACAAAGACACTGACACAAATGGAGAGATGATTAAGTTTCTTGCCAGTTCTCAATTGGATCTATATACTAAACTGGACGGTAGGGAAAAAATTATAATATAAAAAATATGACGTTCATAAGCGGCTAAAATGTCCTATAAGAATAAATGATTCTTGTATTTGAATTTGAATTTGATGATACTCTCGACCCTCAGGAATGAAGAAAACGACTTGAGGAGGACTATACTGTAATTAACAAGGCAAAAAATATTAATATAAAAAACTTGATGTTAATAAGCGGATGAAATGTCCTGAATGAATGAATAAATAATATTTTATTTAAATTGATTAATTTACAATAAACAAATGTTTATTATTACAATACAGATCGACTACAAAAGGAAGCAATGTTCGCATTATATACTTTGTTGCTTATTAACCTATACACGATATCATATTCTCGGGCATCATATTCCACGTTTCTGTTCTGTAAATAAAGCGAGGTCATCGCTTTGATAATTTAACATATTCTCTCGTGGGGGAAGGGGGTTGTAGTTATGGGAACTAGTAATCCCTAACAAAGTACTATATTAGGTCTATTAATCATTCTAATTTTAGAAGAAACAGTCTAATCCATCACATTTAAAATAAGTAACCATGTTGCTAAGTAACAGTCGATATGTAACGTGCAACTGAATCAGATCGAGAATAAATTATATTTGCTGCTGTATATAGTCCACAGAATATCTCCATCAAGGTCAACCTTCTGGAAACTATCGTGATAACTTTCTGTTGAATATGTCAATGGGCTAACTGACCTGAACTCATCTTCTTCTTATATTTCACTAGTGCCCCGCCGGCGTAAACCGTTAACGTAGGCGGGTGCATCATTCCAATATCAACCATTAAACTATATTATTTCTTTTTATGTTTAGTTCTACCATACAGCGCTTTATCGCTTCATTGTCAGATGTTGAGAAATCTTTTACTGGTGCCCCGCCAGTATAAACCGTTAGTGCAGGCGGGTGTACCATTCCATGAAACTCTATTATGCATTTATATATTATGTTTAGTTCCATTGCACAGCGCTTCATCGCTTCATTGTCAGATGTTGAGAAGAGTCGTGCAATTTCATATCACGACATCAAGCACGATGTGGTTTACAGTTGAAATCGCTAACCATTCTACTTTGACCTGCCATGCTCTCTATTCATTATTAACAAGCTAATACCGAGACTTTGTCCCAGTATACATTTTTATTGGAAACCGATTGGATTAAAACAAATGCAATATTGTGCGTGATGCTTATAAAACGCATTATTTCTGAGATTAGAGCTAACGAACGCACAGATAAAGTAATGAAAATTCTAGCAATAATTGTTATGGGTTCTGTTGAGTTAATGAAGTTCCCTAATAACAGTTTTGATATACTATATACTAGCTGTTACTCGTGATTTCGTCTACGTGGAATTTAATAAAAAATGTAATTAAATTGCTAAAATCCAACAATCCTAAGTTACTTCTTATAATATTAGCTATCTGAGAGTGAAAGTCTCATTAAAATCGGTGCAGTCGTTTCAGATATTATCAAGAACAAACATAAAATTTAAAAAAAATTAAGTTTTAATGTAATTGCAGTTAATTTTATCTCATTGTGTATAGTAAATAAGCATGTAATTATGCTAAATAATACTCTATCAACTAAGCTGAGGATCTTAGCAATACAGCATCCTTAGAACATACATTACAATTTAATTGTCTCTCTATTTGTTAACTCCATTTTGAGTATGCCGTCCCGTCGCCCACGTCCTGGGCGAAACCGGGAATAGAACCGGTTATACCATCCTTCGAAATACGTTACGTGATAACTACATGGCTGCTCATGGTATTTCTTATGAAATACTTATTAAACAGTGATAGAAATATTATATAAATAACTATGGAATATCAGCGGATGTTAAAAGGAATGTGAATGTCATTATTGGAAAATATGTCCCGATATTACCATATAAATTGTATGTTAAAAAAAAAAAAGAGAATAGATTCGAAATATTTCATTATGAAGAACTGCTACACGCCACTAAGTCTGCACAAACTTTCATCCATTATTTCACCCTTTTATAGAAGAGTTTATAACTTTTTTATATTAACATCTTCGACTTCGAAAATTGACATTCAAAAAGTTATTATAGACACCTCACTCTTGTATTTAATAATTATCCCCTTAATTGTAATATTCTTAAGTTATATAAACCCACGCCAAACATCAACATTTCATTTGCTGTTATGTACTGTGGCCTTTTGATTGTTCACAGAATAAACGAATACATTTCCTACAATTTCTCGTAAAAACACTCGGAGCTTAGATCAGCATCAGCACCCACATATAATCCTACACAAAATGTACAAAATCGTTACAACCTCTCTCTCCAACGTCACAGTAAAGATAAGGAGAACATATTAATGTCTAATTTAAACATAGGACCTAGAATGAAGCCTTGTAGTACGCCGTGTAGGTAGACCGTGTTGGTATTATAATATTGATTTTGCACTAAATTACCTTGAACTAATATTGCAGTTTGTTCAAGTATGTACATGAACTAATATTTGCAAAGTTTTATGTTATAATACTTAAATATTATGCTCTAAATAAAACTGAGGTCATTCTTATTGAAATTAGTACGTGGTCCAGTACGTTGAAAGAAAATATTTAAAATTATCTAATAATCTTTATGAAGATATCCTGTTTAGCTTTATTCAGCCGTTTTGTAGTGAAAATAGAACTAACAGCTAAACAGACAGACAGAAAGACACTTGATTCTATAATCTCATATATAAAAATTAAATGACGGTTGTTAGTCTCAGTAAAAGTCTAGAATAATTGGACCGATATGGCTACTTTTGGTTTTGAAATATTTGTAGAACTCCAACGAAGGTTTAAGTGCAAGTGTAATTGCAGGAAAAATAGTAAAAATAACAGTTTTATTTTCCCAAACAAATTGTTCATACCTGTCAAACAGGGTTCAGAAATTTATTGCGTATCTAAACTTCAAAAAACCTCTGACATATTATTTAATTCTGAGTCGAAGCGGAGTATGTGGAGTCAGCTAGTATTAATATAATTATTTAAGGTAATATATATAAGATATCATATTATATACATATATTATAATGTAAGATTAATACAGTTTCGTTTCATTGCGTAGGCATGCAGTAAGGATTACCCGACATTCCCACGTGAATGGGAG